AACATGTGCTCGTTCATTTTGAAAGGAGTGTAGCAAAGACCCAAGAAAGAGAAATCACAGTAATTCCATCAGCAACCTCTTTTCTTAGTAGAGCTCCTTCCCTTTTTAAGGTTGGGGAGTTCACTTTCCAGTCTCACGTCTGTGAGCACCCCAAAAGGGGTCTTGGATAGGTCTCCCACTTGTGTTGAAGGAACCCGGTTAAGAACAGTGAACCTCGAAGCCAGCGGACTGGGAATCTGGAAGACAGGAGCCCGGGCCTAACTCCATTTCTGCCATCCCCGAATCCACACCTACTCGTGCCTGGGACACAGCTGCAAGCCACATCCAGTAGCTCTGCGCTTCCAGGGTCATTCACCGGCTTCTCTCCAAGGGTAACCCCAGGAGATGTCTCCTGTAAGTGGGGCCCATAAAAGAGGCCATCTCAAAATGGCCTCATGGCTTCGTCTCCAGATCCAAGTGGCTTCTCCTGTCTTTTCTTTAGAAAAGAAAATCGTCCTCTGGATTTTCTGAAGCTCAGGCGGCCCACCCCGCCAGGACTCCCTCAGGGAAGGCCCTGTCCATGCCTCTCGGGAAACAGCCCGCCCAGCCTTTGTTGTAGAAGCTGCAGGAGGAGCCATATTTGCTTTCGGCAAAAGGCGGACGGGGTCGGAAGGGCGGGGGACAACCAGGGACGGGCCGAGGCCTGCATTTTGCTCCTTGCTAGACCTTGAGGAAGAGAAAGCCAGCCTCATCCCAGCCACATCTCTGACTCACACGGCCTCCTAGGGCCTATGTTTCCAGTTTCCCAATTTGCATAACGAGGAAGTCGCCTCTAGTGTGGTTAACTGCTGCCCTACCGCTCGGATTTTTAACGTGCCCTTGGCCAAGAGCCTCGGGGAGCCCGCCCAGGGCCTCAGGAATCGCCCCGGGAGCCAGGGGCGCTTTCCATCGGCTCCGGGACCCGGGACGCCCTGGGCCCCGGATTCCGAGCTGGGCATCCTGCCCTTCCGCACGTCTTCCCCACAATTGCACCAAAGGCGCGGCCCAGCGCAAGGACGCCTCCGGCCCCACGCGCGGCGGGACACGCGCGGCCTCCCCCGGCGGCACCGCCCTCCCCCAGGGCCCCAGGGGCGGGGCCGCGCGCCCACCGGAAGAGGCGGGGCCTGTCCCGGCGGGCGGGCGGCTTGATTGGCCCGAGCGGGCCTGACGCCGGATCCCGCTATAAGTGCGGGGCCGCGGCCATCTGCGCCACAGTCTGCCGAGAGTCGCCGCGGTTTCCTGCTTCAACAGTGCTTGGACGGAACCCGGCGCTCGACCACCCCCCTCCGGCCGGCCGCCCAGAGCCAGCCCTCCGCCATCTCCTCACAGCGCCCTCGGACCGCCCCAAGGCTCCCGCCGCCGCTCCAGCGCCGCCACCGCCCGCCGCCGCCTCTCCTCAGCCGCCGCCATGACGACCGCGTCCCCCTCGCAGGTGCGCCAGAACTACCACCAGGACTCGGAGGCCGCCATCAACCGCCAGATCAACCTGGAGCTCTACGCCTCCTACGTCTACCTGTCCAT